GCATAGCAAGACATAGCGACAAAAAAGAACACAATGATGACAACATAAAGGAAAACCAATGATCCAGAAAAGAATAAATTTATTAAAAAAGGAAATAAAAATAAAAATAAAAAAATTTTTAAAAGAAAAAACCCTGTAAATAGATCAAGGTCTGATTTTTGACCTGTAAGCCTGTCCTCCAGTCAAGTGCGATGGGGTGCCACGCTCTGGCCCCAAAGTCTATCCTTTGATCTCCCTTGGGAGCTCACTGCTCTGCTCCCCCCATTGCTCTGCTGCATGTCTTTAGTGTTTTGCCTTGGTGTCGCAGGGGTCACACCAGGTCAGTCCTGACACTGAGTCTCCAGTGTTGTCCCCTGTAGGGCCATGAGTCAGTGAGGGACGTCGTGTCTCATAGTGGGATCAGCCATATGGTCCAGTCTGTGCATTGGCTGTTTGGAGTGGGAATATTGTCCTTCAGGCCTGGTGGCCCAGGATCTGCTCCACTCTCTTCTTCCCCATTCATTTGCTGCCGTGTGTTCTAATCAGATGTGTCCCTCTCCCCTAGCTGCAGCTTCAGTGCCGTCCTCTAAAGTAAATTCTTCTGGGGTGAGGGGCAGGTGTCCATGTAGCTGGTTTGGGAGCTGAGTGCTCAGGCGGTCAGTACTTTTTGGTACCATGGTTCCGTGTATTCTTTCCATATTCTTTTTATGCTTTCTGCATCATTCAAAAATTTCCCATAGAAGCCTTCAGTATTTCAACTTGATGCTGGAATTTTTTCTTTGGTTCTTTTGCAGCATGATATATGTTGAGTGTGTTCTTCCTATTTAGCTTTCTAATTACAGATAATTGCACATTTTATTATAGTACTTTATTTTTTCTTCTCGATCTGCACTTTGTCATTTTCTGTTCTGCTTGTTTACTTCCCCATTTGTTTCCCAGTTGCCGTTGCTATTCTTCAATTAAAGGCAAATGTCAGAGTCTATTTTGACAAGTACTTTGATCTTTTCTTTCTTTCCTGTGTGTTTAAATTACCTTTCACTTTCATGAGGTCATTATGCTGTTCTTGAGGTCGTCCCACAGCTCAGCAGGTCTTCTGTCATTAAAGTTTAATGTGCTGCACTTGCTCTTGAGATGTTCTCTAAATCCGTATGGGATAGGCTCAAGATCATATTTTTAGTTCTCTTGAAACTGTTTTATTTTTATCAACTTCAACCGGAACTTACATATGACCATTTGATGGTCTTTGCCACAGTCAGGCTCCTTGCCTTGTTCTGACTGCACAGGCATAGCACATTTGATTCCTATGTATTCCATCTGTTGAGATCATGCATACAGGTAACATTTTATTGCAAAAATGATAGTTGCAATAAAAAAACATTGGTCTGGCCAAATTATATCATGGGCTCTCCAGCTTCTTGTCTATCACCAAGACCATATTATCTAACTACTGCGACTTCCCCTTTGTTAACAATTTTTGCATTCAAGGGAAAATTAGAATTTTAGCTGTATTATCTGGACTTCTTTGTAAGTATATCGATTTTATCTCATCACAGATAACTCTGTACTTCAAAATGTACTTTCATGAAAATAATACACCCATCAGGGAAAATATTTTCAAAATGATGTGGAAAAATAAATAACAATATACTGTTAAGGTGAAAATAGTTTATGGGAATTATTTATGGAAGTACCAGGACTTTATTTTAAAGCATATATACTTTCATACATAATAAATAAATAGAGACACATCCCTGGACAAAATTAGTTTGGAAGAGTTATGAATGGTTAGTGAGATGATAATACTTCCATCTCTGTGTGCTTTCTAGATTTTCATTTTTTAAAATGGTGAATTGATAATTAGTTTGTTTTCAAAGGAAAGAAAGAAAATAAACACCCATAAAAATGATAATTAAAAATGGGTATATCAAAAGCCATTTGTTGCGTAGTCTACAATGCCCAATAGAATCAGCTTATCCTACAAGGAATTCTTTCAAAGCATTGAGGGAGTTTCAATATTATCTTTATAAATAGGTATGAATTCTGGAAGAATGAAATGCATTCTCTCTTAACTGTAATTCTTAAAGAAAATAAATGTGGAAAGGATAACTGTCTCTGATATCTTCATATTCTTATATTCCATGATTTCTTCATGAAAAATTTTAATTTTATGGCATCTTTACATCTGCTTGTAGAACCTGGGTAAGAATTAATGCCGAGTTCTGTTACAATTGTTCTTTCTATGAAGAGTTATGTAATACATCCTTTAAGCCCAAAGGCTTAAAGAGATACTTTTATCTCTTGAACTATAAAAGTATCTGAATTTTAATTTTTTTCCAGATGATTTCTGCATCAAATGGAAATAACTTAATATCTGAGTAAACTTTTTGTTTAATTCCTATGGATTCTTATGGGCACCAAGCTATTTCTTCAAAGAAGATTTAGATTCATATAGTTGAATTAGAAACTGTGTGCTCAATTACTATGCCCTCTAACAGCAAAGAACATAGGCACAGGGTCAAAGACTTTGGGAAGAAATGTATCATGGAAATAAGTCAATGCATTCCAGATTGGAATCTTAAAACCAGAGAAGTAATGTGGTTTAGGTATTTGGAGGCAGAATTCAGATTCAAAGGTTCTGAAATTTTATCACGTTAATGACAAAACAAGACATTTGTTTTCCTGGTTAGGATAATGAAGTATACAACCAAGTGCTTAATGAACTGATGTGTGTGTTGATGAATTTTCCCATTACTTTGGAAACTTCACCAAATTAAAAAAAGATTTCCTAATTGCTAAGAATCAGGAATATGGCCCCTTAAAGGGAGTCCACCTTTGTTCTCAGTCAGCCTCTTGTTTAGTACTTCTCTCTGGAAATATACAGGAAAGACTAGTTCAACATGTCTGCCAAGTGCCACATCTCACCCTTTTATTCTTGGCGATTTGGTCGCAATGTGTTTATCAGTGTTAAATGCAAACGTTCCCAGTTTTTTAATGACTAAATATGAATTTCAAACCTCTTTTCCCATTCTGAATGAAGGTGGAAATACAAAAGAAACCAAACTTAATCCACTGCTATTGCTCAGATTCCTGATTAAAACTCTCCTCCAAGAATTTCCCAAGGTGAAACTCTATGGCACATTGGTTCAAGATAGGAAACTGCCGGGTACTTTGCTGCGGATGAGGTTCCCTATTCCTATGAGTCAGATGGACTCAAAGGGTTTTAGGTTTCACACTGCTACATCTTTCTCCTTCTGGTGTTCTTTTGAGGTGCAGCCAAGATGCTTAACCAAATCCTGGAACTTCTAATTATCTTTTAAAGTGAAAAAAAATCCAAGTCTTTTTGTGTGAAATTTCCCAGTTCTCCTACATGGTTTCATTAAAAAAAATTATTATTAATTGGGACTTAATACATATATCATATCATTCTATAGTTCAATCATGTCAAGCAGTAGTGTACAGTTGCTACCAAAATCAGTTTCCAAACATTATTTTTCTTCCTGGACTCCTTGACATCATCTCTCTTTTTACCCTCCCCTAGCCCCACCCTGCTCACCAAAATTAAAAAAAAAAAAGGAAAGAATGACCAGCGTTTTGCAACATAAACAGGCCGCTTTAAGAAACTTAGTTTCAGGGTTGAATGCGGAATTGCCAACAGATTAAAAGAGAACCTGGTTAGTGTCTGTTATTCTTTTACTCTTCTTCATAAAATAGGAATTATTTTAGCATAATCTGCATAGCAAGGGAATTGGAAATTCTGTGTGAAGAGAATGACTGCCTTTAACTTGTTTTCGATAAATAATATGATATTCATTGTGATATAGTAATGAACAATGGTTGACTGAATGAATGATTGTGTTCAAAAATATATGTTTATTGTGTTGGTATACAACAGTTTATTGTTTATATATTAAAGTCTATTAAGAATTTGAAGTAATTCTAGCTAATGCAGAATCAAGCAGTATAGTGGTAATGGACCAAAGGTAGCAGAAATAGAATTTAACTTTTTTCCCTCTTTATTAAATGCCCATCCACTCACTGGCATTGAGATGGTCCTGATTCATAGCGGCTTGATATTATTAATACCAAAGATAGATCCCATTTTTCGTTTAGTAGAAAATATGTTAAAGAAGAAAGAAGTCCTAAGATAGTGAGAAAACAGGTTTCTACCAGAATCAGAGTCTTGGTTAGAGATCTGATCATAAAATATAGTGTGTATTTTTCATTCCTTGTTTTGTACAAAATTTCATTGTTAATACTTTTCATTTTAAAATATTCATGAGAGATAGACCAACTCACCTGGTGTCCCTAATCCTCCATCATCCTTCAAATTATATATATTTTAAGCTTTATTTTTCAGCAGCATGTATAAAATACTTTGCATTTCTACAACTAATTTTATTTCATTTGATATCTGTTGGGTTTATTGACATATAATTCACATATCATTCAATTCAATTCAAATATATTGAAGAGTTTTGCAATCATAACCACAATACATTTAAAACATTGTCTTCTTTCTTGTACTCATTATTGTTAGCTCTCCCCATAATCTCTCCTGCCATAACCCTAAGAAAACACTAATCCAGTTACTGCTGCTATAGATTTACCTATTCTGGATTTAATAAAAAGAAAAACATACCAAAGAAAGCCAACAATAACAAAATAAAGCAGAGAAAAATAGTAATGGAAAAGAAATCGAAAATATTTTTAAAATTAGGATAAATTTAAAAGAAGAGAAGATATGATAAAGTGTTAAATATTAACCTAACTATATCTAGGTTAATTAATTAATTCACTTTCCAAACCACTTTGTCTGATAGCAAGGCTAATAGCCTCCCTGGTTAATGGTCAGAAGGGATTCACTGGAGGTTTTAAAAGAGTAGGACTGTATCAGCATATTTGTTGACAAGGAGTATCCAAAACGGTGGAATATGATATTGCAATCCAATATAATTTCAAACAAACTTTGATTGATATTTTTCATTATTGATACTTTCATGTAGTGATCAATCTGAGTGGATATGATGGAGACGAACATGACTTTTGTGACAGAGTTTGTTCTCATGGGACTTACAGCTCGTCCAGAGCTGCAGGTCCCCCTATTCCTGGGGTTCTTGGTGATCTACCTCCTCACCATGCTGGGGAACCTTGGACTGATTGCCCTCATCTGGAAGGACGCCCACCTGCACACGCCCATGTACTTCTTCCTCGGCAGCTTAGCTTTTGCGGATGCTTGCAGTTCATCTTCTGTGACTCCCAGGATGCTTGTCAATATCTTAGACAAGAGTCAAATGATCTCCCTCTTTGAGTGTATGGCCCAATTTTATTTTTTTGGCTCTAGTGCAACCACAGAATGTTTCCTCCTGGTAGTGATGGCCTATGACCGCTATGTGGCCATATGTCACCCTTTGCTTTATCCAGTGGTGATGTCCAACAGACTGTGCACTTGGTTGATAGTTATTTCATATGTAATTGGTTTTCTGCATCCAGTAATTCATGTAGGATTGTTATTTAGGTTAACATTCTGCAAGTCTAATATAGTACGTCATTTCTACTGTGAAATCTTGTCACTGTATACAATTTCTTGCACAGACCCATCTATTAATGCATTGATGATTTTTGTTTTTGCTGCTTTTATACAAGCTTTTACTTTTATGACCATCATAGTCTCTTATACCTGTGTGCTCTTTGCTATCCTGAAAAAGAAGTCTGAAAGGGGCAGAAGCAAAGCCTTCTCCACGTGCAGTGCCCATCTGCTCTCTGTGTCTTTGTTCTATGGCACGCTCTTCTTCATGTATGTGCGTCCTGGGTCTGGCCCAGATAAATATCAGGATAAGATGTATTCACTGTTTTACACAATTATTATTCCTCTGCTAAACCCCTTAATCTATGGTCTAAGAAACAAGGAAGTTTTGGGTGCAGTAAGAAAAGTCATAGAGAGATAAATATTTTTAAGAAAAGTTTTTACTACTTTTTCCATATCCCTTTCTTCTTAAATAAATCATAAAACCTTGCCATGTGTTTTCCTTTCAATCCATTGTTGAGAATGTACACAACAAACCAAATGCTGATTCCACAGTTTTACTTATAAAATTCAGTGCCATTTATTATATTCTTTCAAGTTGTACAATCACTCTCATCCTCCTCTACTGAATTGTTCCTCCTCCATTAACAAGATTCCATTCTAAGCGTTCATGTGGCTGCTTATGTTTCATTCCATATAGATAGTTCTTAAAAGAGAAAATTCTCATGATATACCTTTTTTAGTAATTCAGCTAAATAATTGTTTGGTTTTAAGAAGAGCTTGGGGGATAGTTTTAGTTTAAAGATTATCTCAGAAGAATACTGTATTTTTTTTTGATTCATTCAACCGTCATGGCTCCTGTTTATCTACTGTCCACTAGAATTGAAACTCTTTTCTGAATTTCCCACTTTGAGCAGGGTTCCTCTATAGAACCCTCTATCAAAACGTGCAGTGACGGGAGCTGGGCGCTGACTTTGTGTTATTATTAAAAAGGTTTGCAAAACTCTAAGGATAGACACTTTGTTTTTTGCCGTTGAGGCTGTTGTTTCAAATCCATACTCAAGCCCCAAACTTAAATTTATTTGCCTTCACTTTGAACAAATTACATTTCCACACACGTTTTAAAAGATCTCTGATGATTGTTAACCACAAGGTCAGCAGTTGGAATCCACTGACCATTCCATGACCGGGAAATGAAGTTTCCTGTGTCTCTATGATTTACAGCTTCAGGAACCCATAGTGGCAGTTGTCACTATCTGTCCTATAGAGTCACGATGAGTGTTATGAGAAATAACATCCAGTCATGATGAGTGTTATGATGAATAACACCCAGTCTGTGGAATTCCTCTGTTTAGAAATGATTCATGCGTTCCTAAATAATTCTTAAGTGAAATATTTTTTAAAGTTTTCTTCTTAGAAGGTATTTAAAATAATTCAAACAAGATGTGAATTAAAACAATATTGTTAGACTTATGAAAGATGGATACAGGAGTGTCGGCAGAGATTTTGCCACCACATAGGACGCAGCATACCTCAAATGCACTTATAGGAACTGGTTGTGAGAAAACTGAGACAAGACAAACCTGGCCTATTGGCAGTCTGTCTCACTGACTACTAATTGCATTCTTCAACAAATGAATGAGTAAATGAAGGCTTGGATGAGAGGAATGTGTTATGTACACGGAAAAACGTTTATTTTTTTAACAAGGATATTCACAAGGTCTTATGGCATAAAGTCAAGTAAGCAAAAATCCAAAAGGGATTGATTGAAAAACATACAGCTTTGGTAAGAATGAAATCCATTTTAAATTACATATTTATGAGCTGATTATGCATAGCTACAACTTCAGGTATCTTATAGTTCCAGAAAACGTATATTGAGTTGCTGTATGTGTATTAGGAAAAAACAGATTACAGGTAAAACTCAGAGCTTTGTTAATTATATCAGGAAATTTAGCTATTTTAAATACTTCAGTGATTTTATTTTTATGCATTTCAATAAAGATAAATAAATATAAATTCCTTCTCAGAATTACTTTTGAAACTCACGCTTGTCTTTCTGTTTATAAGTAGAGGGTCTTAAACTTGTGTGGCAGTTACATAATCTCCTGTCAACTTGCAAAGGGGTGGAGTCTAGCCTGTCAATCAGGTCATAGTCATTGAGGCTTCTGTTTGGGCCTTCTCCTGAGGATTCTGGGAACTCCTGTTTTCCTCGCTGGAGGTGGGAGTCACTCTCTGCTTTGACTTCCTACTGACAAGACACATGCTGATGACAGCCAGTTTTGGAGCTGGAGGAACCACATGGAGACTCAAGCCAGTGCTGAGATGCTTTCACCACCACTGGATCCACAAGACTTTTCACTCACTGGTGTTGCATGAGTCTGAAGAGAAATTTACAGACTGATACTGGACATATGTGCTAATATTGGACTTAAAGACTTGATCTGGACTGGGCTGGCATGTTTTCTTAATATACAATTACTCTCTGATATAAAGCTCTTTCTTATACACATAAGTGTCTATGAATTTGTTTCTCTAGTCAACCCGGACTAACACAATTTGCTAGTGTTTGTTGTTGTTGTTAGGTGCCTCACGTTTCTGATTCAGAGGGACTCTATGTACAACAGAAGAAAACACTGTTTGGTCCTGCACAATCCTCATCATTGTTATTATGCAGTCGCTAAAAGGAGGATATGATGTGAAAATTGGGGAAGAATAGGATGGGTCTATTCTTCCTGGAGACAAATCCTCCCAGTTATTTTTCTGAGAATGTTTTCATTTCATCATTTATTTTTAAAAGATCGTTTCAGACATGCCATGAGCTGTGCCATGTATTGAGAGCATGTATTAGAGAGCATGATACAAATTCTTATAATTTGTTGACATTTTTTTATGATTCAGGATGTGGTCTATATTGGCATATGTCTGTAGGCACCTGTAAATAATTTTTTGTTGTTGAGTGAAGTGTTCTATATATTTTTGTTTGATCATATTGATTGATGATCCTCTCTTTTCTTGCTCTCTGTCTCTGGAGAACAGGCCCTTTTTGCTTTCAAGTGCTGTAGAACACTGTCTTTGGGAAAATTGACAGGGGTCACTAAAGATCTACCACAGGACATCTGCAGAGTTTCTAAAATCATACCTTACACCTTACTGTTCTCATCTTGTATCCTGTTTCAGAGTCACCTTACTTGTTTATTATATCAGCATATCCACCTCTATCTCCAAATCTCCTAAAAATCACCTTTTATTCTCCACGATCCCTCCTTACCCTTATCTCAAGAACATTTCTGAGGCTCTTCAGATGCTATTCATAATTCTATATAATGGTTTCTTTTGGGTTCTTCTTTTATACTGTGAGGAAAGGCAAAGACCTAGAAGAGGAAAGGGCATTACAAGTGAATGGGACAAACTGAGCAAAGGCAAGAAGAGACTACAAACTAGGATGTGTTTAGGGTAAATTAAATATCCTGGTGTGGTGAAAATCCCTGCAAGATATTGATTGAGAACCTGCGTTGCTTCAGGCACTATTCTCAGTGTTGGGCATACAAAGGTGAACAAGAGAGAGGAGACATTGCCTTTTGGAGCTTAGTTGATAACCAGGAACAAATCCAGGGGCATTCTGTAATTTCACTTCATTACGCAGCATTCAAAGTCAAGTCTTAAGTGCTGGAAGCTGATTTGAGCATAAAGCTAAAAATAATTTCTGTAACGAGGGAATAAAACTGATTCTTATTTTGGAAAGATTTTCAACAATCTTCACATCCGTTCTCCGGGGGATATTCCTGAAGAAGGGACTCAGTTTTAGGTTAGTCAGGGAGAAAAAGAAACTGAATTTAAGCCTTCTCACTTGCTGGACTGCCAGCAGTCTCCCAATATTCCCTGGGGCCTTCTATCACCATATGGCCCATGTGACAGCAGTAGAGCGTCCCTGAAAGCTTGTTAGAACTATAGACCGTGAGAGCTGCTCCAGACACAATAAATCAGAATTTTTTTTTTTATCCACATCTGCAGATGATTCATATACACATTTAAATTTGACAAACACTTCCAAGAGTACCAACTGGGTGCATACCGAACACACTTTAGAAATTTGTTCGGGGATCATGGACTAATTTAGAAGGAGCTGTGAAGAGCATATAACTATTTCTCAAAGGGGTGACTCATTTTTGCTAGTTCACCTATATCTCCTTATCTGGCTTCAATGCTGACCAATGGATAGTTAGAGTTTCAGGTATATTCTGTAACTGCTGGCATTTACTGCAACATTATGACAACTAATCCCAGCACTATGATAAAACTTAATGCCATTTTCATCAGATGGAATTTACACTTTCACTCCCAAATGAGAAGGGAAAGAAAGTCTGTGTCCTCAGCGAAGACTGGAAACCTTAAGTAGTCATCGTAATTATTTGCTTTGGGGGGTTGGTGTCATGGTGTGCCTAAGGTGATCTGAGCTTTAGCCCCAAATACCCAGTAGATCAACTAGTGCCATCCAACAGGGAGTTCTTAGGAGCTATTAAGAGAATTTTGCAGTTGATTTATTACAAACAGATGTGAAATCTAGAAGAAATCAACAGTGGTCCCAATATCAGTGTAAAAGCAATCACTGCCTTCATTTGAGCATCTGTTTCATAGCGATCTCATTCTTGGGTCACAAAGTGTCAGTGTTTGCATTAGAGATCACAAGCCCTCCTCCTGCTAGCAGAGTGTGTGATTGCTCACAGATAACAAGCCCATGGCCCACATCTGTAGAAGGAATAGATCATCTTCCCACTGGTTTCCAGGTCCCTCTCCCTTGCACCCTCCTAAAACCTTGGTAGACCCCTTAAATGTTAGAGGTTAGGTTATTAACTTTTAAAAGGCCATTGATAAAATATAGTCTTCTATTTGAAGCAACTTTCATTTCTGACTCTGACATGACAAATGCCCTGAGCAGACAACTCAGGCAGCATTTCAGAGTTGTCTCTGCCATAAATAGAGAACTCAATTCACTGCCACCGAGTTGTTGCCAACTCAGCTACCCGACAGGAAAGGGTATAATTGTCCCTATGGGTTCTTGAGACTGTAACCCCTGATGAGAGTAGAAATCCTCCTCTTTCTTCCACTGATTGGTTGGTGGTTTCCAACTGCTGGCCTTGCATTTAGCTGCCCACCATGTAACCACTATGCCTCCAAAGCATTTTTATATTATTGACTACGAGCTAATATAAAAAATTAAAATCAGTGACAACAAAACCCTAAACTCACTGCCATAGTGACCCTATAGGTCATAGTAGAACTGCCCCTGTGAGTTTCCAAGAGTGTAGCTCTTTACTGAGTAGAAATTTCACCCCATCTTTCTGTGGAGGAGTGAGCGGTAGTTTAGACTACTCACATGTGGATAGCAGCCCAACACCTAAACACTACCCCACAGGGTTC